GACTTTTACCAATAGTCGAAGATTATCTTTCATTAAGCGCATGATTTGCATGATGTAGCATGAATGTGCGAATTTCCGCAAATGAAGGAAAAATTTGTGCTAGAGTTTCATGTAAAAATGCTTGCATGTTGCGAAGAAACTTGAGATTCGAAGCTCTATGTTCTGATTGTTTGTATAAACTCTTGTTTTTTGTGCAGCACACTGCATAACAGATTTACTCATTAAAGCTACAGCAATTTGGCAAAATATTGGGGAGGGGAATATGAGCTTGCGAGGAAAGGATGCCTAACTTGCTTGGACTAGGCCTAGTAGAAGCCTTTGCGAATTTCCTAGATATAGCAACATTGTTCAGTTTTTTCAAAGTGATGTGCTATTAAATTGTTTGTCCTTCTATATGAAAACTTCTGTGAGAGGCAGCAACTCCATTTCGGAAGGTTATGGAAAATACTTTCGAAGTCACTTTTGAGCTCGATATAAAAAATATTTGAATAGTTCAAAAAAACTCTATTTGCAGCTGATCTTTATATTTTGCTATTTCGCGGAAGAAAAATACATATGTGCTTAGGGGCAAGAGCTTGTAATGAAGCGTTATGTTTAGAGAACTACCAAATCTTCGTGCTTTGCGTTTTTCAAGTAATTTCGCATGGCAACGCTGAACGCGATTAGTCGAGGTCAAGAAAACGTTTAGCTAGGGATGTGTCGCAAAAACAACGCCCTGAACTGCAAAGGAAACCAACGTTCCGTAAACATCTGTAAACACACCCCGCTCTCGTTGAATATGCGAAACAATCTCTCGAGCAAAGCCGAAACAAATGGATTTCATCGGAAGAAACAAACTAGAAAGCCAAAGAGCCATAAGCGGGGGATAGCTCATTGATTCCAAGCGGCCCATTTATTTCTCTTTAGCAAGATGCATTTACCAAAACGGAAGACGGCGGAATCTGCACTTCTTTCGTCGACATCGCAATTGATGACGGCAGATGCTCTTTCGTTAAGCGAAGGCTTCACCAGGAACAACAACGCCATAGGGATAAAAGGTATGACTACGAGGGTCCCAAAAAAATTATTTATCCAAGAAAAAAATTAAAGTAAGAGCACGGGTAGTGACCCGCAAAAGCTGAAATATAAGAAGGCTGTTGCGAAAACAAAGTATGACTTCCTTGTGGAAATTGCATTCTACTTCATTCCAATTACGGTGGAAGTGCAAAAACTCAAAGAACTCGCGTGTGCATGAACTGGAAAAGAAATAGCTGGCCAAAAACTGAAAAGAACGAGGTTAAAACAAGCTAGATTTTATAGTGAGTTTATAGTCTTCAGCATGATGGCACAAATTTTCAACTTCTACTTCTAGCATCCTGATAGAACATATTAGTACAATACCGCTCACAGAATGTGCAAAATTTCCGTGAATGTCGCAGAATTCCGGAAATTCCGCGAAGGTTCGCGAAATTCCGGGAATTCCGCGGCATTCCCGGAATTTCGCGAAACATGTAAATCACGCAAACAGGGCCATAACTTCTTTCCGAATGGGTATATTCGAAATCCGAAAACAGCATTGTGTTCAGCTCGTCAAGGCGAATCTTCTGCTATACAGGGTGTCTCCAATATCCTTTTTTCAATAATCTTGGATTTGCATGCGGGCTCCTCTTCGCATGGGTGTAACGCAACGAGCATCACACATAGGAGACTGCCGTGGGCACCTTTCGATAGCACTCTTTCAGTAGATTATTCTGCGCTAAACAGCAGCCGAGGACTCTCTTTTAAAGGAGATAGAAGAGCTGATAACCTCTGAAAAAATTAAGCTGTTCCAAGTTCTACCAGCCGTAACTTCCTTCAAAATGAACATTTTCGAAATCCGAAAGCAGCATTGTGTTCAACTCGTCAAGGCGAATCTTCGGATATACAGCGTGTCCTTGAAGTTCTGTTTTCAATTTTTTCAAAATTTTCTGCGCGCGTATACTCGCAAGATCGCAACGCAGCGCACATCAAACATAAAAGACTCCAATAAGCAATATTGGATGTGCTGCTTCCGCAGATTACCGAGCGCTAAAAACGAACCAGGGAATCTTTTTCAGAAAAGATAGAAGAGCTGGTGAATTCTGGAAAAATCGTGTTATTTCAAATTTTGCCCACTGTAACCCTAAAATGGGAAGCTCTCCTGCTAAGAGTGATTTTCGTAATCAGCAGGTCTGATAACCTCTATGAGCAAGTTTTCAAAGAAATTCGGGTGATTTGATTTTTTCTCGTTCTACGCCCTGAAGCTCGCCGATGGGTTTTGGTCAAAATGTCGATGGTCTTGGATTATAAGGAAACTTCGCTCAAAGAGGTTATCTGACCTGCTGATTACGAAAAACATTTGCTTAGCAGGAGAGCTTCCCATTTTAGGGATACAGTGGGCAAAATTTGAGACAGCACGATTTTTCTAGAATTCACCAGCTCTTCTATCTTTTCTGAAAAAGATTCCTCGGTTCGTTTTTAGCGCTCGGTAATCTGCGTAAGCAGCACAATCCAATATTGCTTATTGGAATCTTTTATGTTTGATGTGCGCTGCGTTGCGACCTTGCGAATATACGCGCGCAGAATTTTGAAAAAATTGGAAACAGAATTTCAAGGACATGCTGTATATAGGAAGATTCGCCTTGACGAGCTGAACACAATGCTGCTTTCGGATTTTGAATACACTCATTCGGAAAGAAGTTATGGCCCTGCGTAATTTGCATGATTTACATGAATTTCGCGAAATTCCGGGAATGTCGCGAAGTTCCCGGAATTTCGCGAACCTTCGCGGAATTCCCGGAATTCTGCGACATTCACGGAAATTTTGCACATTCTGTGAGCGGTATTGTACATCAAGTTGTTATTGGTCTAGACATAAGTCTTACACCAAAATTTTCAAAGATCATAACCTATTCCAAACACAATTTGATGAATCTGTTTGCTACTCTCGACCTAGTTCGGAGAGATGAAAATTCTCCTTTTTTGAGGTAGAAAAAGATTATTGTTATCACAAAGGTCAAATCATATGTTTTTATTTGCTTCTACTTTTGACTTGAGTTTTCTGAACTGCTTTTGATTATAAATTCAGTACTGAATTGTACTGATGTTTCAGAATTTGAAATATTTATATTTTTTCCAGTTCTATTCTCAGTTTAAAGTGAAGATAGCATCACAGTAAGCATGTGGTCAATTAAATCAGATAATTTTGCACGATTGATGCGATTGTAGAGTAGAAAGTTCCTCAACGTCCTATCTGAGTATTTTTCTGAGAAATCCATCGGCTACACGCATACTACTCATTAATATAGAGTGAATAGTCATTCAATTAGCCTCGTATACAATAACAGCCATGTTCCCAAGCAGTCACTACGCTTCTGTTATTTGCATCAGTAAATGAGCACGAATGGGATCTAACTACATAGCGAGGGGATATGAGCAGATTCAAGCCTTCTAGCTTAATTAAAGGTTTCTTTAGCTACTTATTTGATGCCCTATGATCGATGTTAAAGTAGATTGGCACGAAATTTTGCAACTTCTGTCACAAGTTTTTTCTTTCTGAACATAGCGCTCTCATTTTTTGGCATTATATAGAATGTGATGTATACCATAAGCCTGTGCAAACTGTTCGATTCTTATTAGCATAATAGAAAAATTATAAGCATTTTTGTGAGCCGTTGAACATCGATTTTACGTTTTTTTAGCAGAAACGAAGCCTTACAGAACCTGAATCGAACATATCAAAATGGAACTATAGATAGCTGCTGCAAGAATTTGAATTATTGCACTCACTATAAAGGAAATGGATTTGTGAAACAAGATCTGGCGTTCTCAAAAAGGTAAACAAGTCAAATGCCATTTGGAGGGACATCTGTCAATAACTAAGCTGCGAAATCTCAATTCTCTTAGATTAGAAACTCCTAATGGGTAATACGATATGCTGAATACGAACGCCATACTCATTTGTTGCTAAAGGAAAAATTGATATCTTAACCTTACAAGGGACCTCTCTTTATCTTTGTAATCATCGTGGCCAACCCCTCCCCGTTCCGTTCTCTAGACCAAGTTTCAGCAAAATATGAAGCAATCTGGAAATTTTTCTTTTATACCCATACCTACCGTAACCCTCATATGCGATGACGAAATTAGCAAAAAAGGCTGCGATTGTAGCCTACATTGTAATCTTCGTGATACCAAAGAAATGTGCTATATCAAACAAGACAAAAACTTCATTAATGTTGCTTTACTTATGTAAACCTAACGCATTAAGCCAAGGAATAGAACAGGAAAATGTTTTTTATAAGAACTTTGGATGTCATTTTGAGCGAAGTTCACTTATTTCATGCGGCACAGCTTGAGCTTGTCAGATGCAAGGATTGATAACGTTGGAAGAATGTTAACTTTAGTATGATGAATGGGTAATGACACATGTTCTTTTACAACGGCTTGAAACTACAAATACAATGCTCTCTATATTGTACTTTTCGTTATCCGCACACATATTTATTTGTAGTCCGTTGTGAAACAAATTTGTAGCTGCAAGTTGAAAGAAGGTTGAAAGTTGCTCCAACTGCTTAGGCTTGGGCGATATCGGTATTCTAAATTTGAGACTTGCAGAAAAGAAGAGAATAAATCTTCCTCTTTGAGTTTGATGGGGCATCCAAAAGAAAGTAAAGCATCCAGCTGCAAAACATAATATTCACCTACTAATGGCCAGTTTTATAAATCATACCCTAATTAGAATACGGTAATCAGTGAGTAAGAGATGTTTACATGGGTAATCCACGGGTGATTAATCACTTTGAGTTGGAAACCATAAACAATGTTATGTCAATAATCACTCAATTTAGCAGCAAAATAAAAAGTTGCATTGTCCACTAAAAAATTTGTTTTCGCTTCACGTGTATCAAAAGCATATTGCCAGCATAATGTATCAGAATTATAGCACTCACGGTTTTGCTTATAACAAACAATTGTATTTCCCAGAAAGAAATTAATTTTCCCACTCATGAAACTCCTGGAGAACAGATTTTGTCCTTGGCCGATCCACTGGTGGTTTCTCATTGACTTTACTAAAAAAAACAAAATAAACCGTTATCTGGGTTGCAAAATCTATTTTGCAAGTTATGCAAACTCTACGATGATAATTAGAATGGGAATATTACTAATGTTTTGTTATTTTAGCCATTCGTCCCATGGGAGTGGTTCCACCTCTGTTTATAGAAGGCTACCATGTAATTCTGATAATTGGCTGTAATTGTCCTGTGCAACAGCAGCAATTCAAAAACAACTTGATTTATTTGATGAGCACAAGATAAGGACATAGCTCTCTTCCAAAAGATATATTGTTTGATCTTCTGCCTAGCCGTAAAAACTCATATAAAAAAGTCAGAGAACATCCTAGTCATTTTGCAGTCTCATTGTGCACTTCTTGGGTTAAAACAGCAGGCTTTAGCTCTCTTTCTTGTGAGAAAGTTTGTGATTTGACTTGCTGTAAATTCTTTGCTCTGCCATGGCAGTACATTTTTACTAATTGAGCCATAACATTTCTCTTTAACCCCAAGGAATGGAAGCGCTTGCTCACCAAGGACGAATCCCTCCCTCATTTTCAAATTTCCAGCAAATATTTGATCATTTCGCTGCTTTTGTTGATCAATTGAGACAGCAAAATGACTACTGCTTCCACTTTTGAATATTTTAGATATAGCGTTTGGCGTTCTTCAGACATTGCATTCAGTATATCACGCATATAGAAGTATCGAGTTTGTGTTTTTCTGGAGGAAAAAGCAGCACTAATGTGCGCTAAAATTTGACTTACGTTATTTATACATTTTTTGTACGAGTGAAAAAAGGCTTATCATTATACGCGTGTTAGCAATACAACACCAGGTCTGAAAGGCAAGAAAGTGTATATTTTTTAGTGCAGAGGATATGTGTGCGTGTTTTGATTGCCCCATTCTGGTGACAAGAACTAGGCTTTACGAATGGAACGCATAGATATACAAGCTTATCTTCTACAAAAAGGTTACAGTCAAAATTTAAAGTGAATAGATCTATCATCAGATGATTGCTTAAAAAAATGAACAATTCTGGTGCTCGCAAAACAAGGATACTTAGCCGGAATGACCTTTCCATAAGAGGCGTACACAATCTCAATGAGCATAAAACGCTGACTCCAAACCTCCGGCGAAGGTTTCATGGGAGTTTTTCAGAAAGTAAGGACGAAATAAACGCGCAACTACGAGATCTTCAGATCTATAGCTCAAATGAGGGATATTAACTATTTTCTGTGCAATGGATACTCTTAGTGTACAGACTTATTACTTCATCCAAGCGCTTGAAAGACAAGTGTCAAAAGTTCGCCTTAATAAAACTTTCATTATTCCTCTCCGCGGGTGCTCTGCAGAAAGCAAAGTTGGTTTACATCCAATTAGAAGCCACTTCGACTATGTATCCTTTTTCTCTTGTCAGTAGTAATGATGCATAAATACTTGTCGTGCCAACGTTTTAGCTCTGACGATGAGAGAAATGAACATCTCACTTAATCAGTTCCGGCGGAAAAGATTGTGTCCTTGGTCGAACTTCGAGCGATTGCTCACTGACTTTGCTGAACAAAGCAAAATAAGCTTTGAAAAGAACATTACGCTGGTCTAAAGTAGACACAATGACGACTTGCGACTTCTAAAACAACATCAATATTTTGATCACAAAAGTAATATATCCCGTTATGGTCGTGTTCATTTAAGCAGGTGCGACAGAAGATGAAAGAGTGGTTACCAGAGCTGGTCAAATTTCAGGGGATTATTCTTGAGGTGCATGCAATCCGCATGTGTAATTTGTGATTAAGTTCGCATACAAGCATCATACTGCATAGGAGTGAACACTTAGTGAAATAGAAATTCATTTTCACGAAGTCAGCGCTTGAAAGATACGAACTTCTAATAATGGAGCAGACATACGACTGAAACTACAGTAATCCACTGGAGCCATTCATAAGAACTCAGCACCAGGAAGGCACTCGTAGTCGTCATTATGCCACAAATTCCTATTGGAATAGAAAGAAAAATTACAAAAATGGTTCCTGGCTAAAGGTTTTGTAATACTTCAATTGTGTAATCACAAAATTTTTTACATTTCAATATTGAGTGGTTCCACCTCATTTACCTCTATCACGATGATTCATTAACCCATAAAGGACATCAGAAAAATAAATTTTTGAAAACGGCAACCGAATCACCAGAATCTTCTCACGCATACACATTCATGCCTGAGGACCGAAGTTTATTACGCAGGAGCAACGTATTTGTTTCACTTTACTTTTGACCATATATAAACTCCGTGAAGAATCAATGCAAAGAAATGTGTGTGCAGTAAAAGCGGTGAAGCCTTCAAAAATAATAATATATTTGAAAGCTTCACCGAATCAGTATCGAATAGATCCGGAAGATTTGGTAACATGATGATTTATCGTGCAACAACGACTGATGTGGTTCTTCGAAACATGGATCGAGTGATCAAATATGGTAAATATACAGCGATGAAATAACTCGCTTTTCAGTTAATCGTCAATGAACAACGCTGGGGATGTCCTTTATCCGGACCAAGCGCAATTAGATTAGGCAAGTGATCACCTTCCAGTTGGATGGACGCGAAGAGTGCATTTTTACTCCAAACTTCTATTGATGTGACTTTGAGGGAGAATAAGGACACCAGAAATACAGATAAAGATCTTTTTGAGGTTTCATCTAGAATTTGTTTACATGTTTAGGGGATGCTCATCAAATTGGTTATACAACTCCTCTAAGATGTACAAGGCTTTTAATGCTGAAAGAAGACGCCTTTTCAAATAAAATCGTGCTGAACGAGTACCAGACGCAGCCGTTTTTTCTAAACTCAACCTGAACATACCAAATAAATTCGCGACCATAGGACCCTCTATCATGCTGCTTCTTACCTAGGAAAAAGGAATGGAAGAGAAAGCATTTTGCGAGCACAGTGGTGCTGCTTAAATGAAAAATTTGCGTTGTACCTGTAAAATTAGGGCATTCCTGTTCATTTCCGCTGAAAGATGAAGCAGAATTGGATCACCTAGATAATCCCCAGTATAAGGAGAGAACAATCTTTCGGAAGTTAACTCTTAAGTAGTGTCCGGGCAAAACTGATAATCTTGAGCAATAGTAAGCTCTTTAATAAGCAACCGAACAAATGCATAAGCAAGTTTCTGAGCCGAAAACGAGAAAAAGAGAAATTTGTAACATTTCGTACTCTACAAATTTGAGGCCGAAAACAATGAAAATGAAAACCCTCCAATTTGGTGTAGCTGTGCCTAGTGGGATAAAAAAACAAGTAAGGGCGCAGTAGCTCAGTTTTCAGGAAGCTATCATATGCCATGAATGTTGGATCGTATTTATTGTATGATTACGGTAAACTTTTGGAAAGTGGTGTTTGCTCGACGTTTGCGCTCCTCGAAGCCGCGGATTAAAGCGCAATAAAACTCCGCGAATGCCAAAATTAAGTGAAAGTTTGCCGAGGTTGCATTTGAGAGGGATTAGGTTGCCTTTCTTTTATCTCACAATCCAGACGCTCAGAAAAAGGTTAAGTATTGAACGGCGTAACTCGATCTGCAAATGAAGTTCAAACATTCATCCTACCGTACGGTGAATAGCTTCCTTGTCAGAATAAGTAGATAATTCTTAGGGCATGTTTTCTTAGTTTATCAATTACCGTACCTCATACATTTTCATATCTTCTGGCACTAACACCTTGACAGAATTAAGTATGTAAAATATATGATCCTCAACGAGAGTTTTTTACTTACAAGGAAGCCTGGAGTGCCATTTGTTAACCCCAACGGCTTGAAAAAGCAGCCAAAAAATAAATCAAACATAAGCTCAAGAAGAGAGATGTCAGCTACCATGTTCAAATGAACAGTTATTCCTTGAGGACGTAAAGAAATTAATGGCTTACCTGACCCCATGTCCGAATTTTCTGAAATATTATACATTCGCCTTGTCAGAGAATAGGAAATCGGGTAGGCTGAGACTTTGAGATTACACACACACACACACACACACACACACACACACACACACACACACACACACACACACACACACACACACACACACACACACACACACACACACACACACACACACACACACACACACACACACACACACACACACACACACACACACACACACACACACACACACACACACACACACACACACACACACACACACACACACACACACACACACACACACACACACACACACACACACACACACACACACACACACACACACACACACACACACACACACACACACACACACACACACACACACACACACACACACACACACACACACACACACACACACACACACACAAAAAAAAAATCAAATTTCAAATGCTGCAAAGAACCCTGATACCGTTCTGGTTTGTTTTTCGTCATCGTAATCGAAATGCCATTTTTTACCATAACTAGAAAAAATCTTGGCTTGGCTTGGTTATATGGTTTTGAACGAATAAATTTGATGACTACGTAAAAGACAGTTTTGCGTAATTAGTACGTAGTTTTACGTTTACATTTTGGTCAAATCATTTGCAGTAACTGGACAGAAACCGTCTTTTGGTATGTGTTTCGTGAGATCATTCTCATGAGAGCTGGAGAAGAAGATCGAATCAAAGCGTAGAATTGCCAACATACCAAGCTGAACCAAAGGGTAAGACGATCAGACAGATTGACATCATTCTTGTAGTTACGGTTACTGGAGTCCAGTGTTTTTAGTATTGAAGAAGTTGCGAAAGCATTGTGAAGATGCAATGTTTTCGATTACGGAAGTATTCTGCTACTTGCTACCATTAATTTGCCTCACATCTCTGACCCGCTCCCCGATTATCAGGAGATTAAGGAATTCGGTAATACGCGATTTTGGCACAAGTCTTTGATAGCGCGTGTAAGTGGGCGTTATGATGAAACAGATTACTTGATTATAGAAGGAAAAATCAAAAAACTTAGGATACAGGAAATAAAGCGATTTTAGAAGGTATGCAACATAGAAGCCTATAAAATAAATTGGTTCGTAAAAATGCGAGGAGATAACACTAAATTTGTAGCAAAGAATGAGATTTGACTTCACAGAGCTTTCAGGTTCGGGCGGAGGTTCTCTACATAGCACTGCTGGAATGCTTAACCGGAAGGCGTGTTCCTTTTAATTGCAAAAAAACTCTCCGCCTCCCATTTTCTGTGAATCAAGCAAACGAGCTTCAAAATGCGATAAGTGGAGCCAGTACTGCACCATATCAAATCATACCTTCAGCCGAATAAGAACTACTTGCTCATAAATTTGGATAAAGCGTGTTGCGAGATAGTGTAAATTCCTAATTCATAGTTCTCTGCTTATTGTCAGCTCAAAAATCACATGTACAATGGTAAGAAGCTACTTTGCAAATGTAAAGTGGACGTACCCGTAACAAATGTAAAATTTGTCAGAGTGATTTGCCACATACTAAACCTCGCAAGTACTACCAATTGATGGCATGTATGATGGTAATCAAGAAGCCTCGTGCATAGCACTCCGTTCAACTTTTCGGAAGAATTTCGAAGTATATTGCTTCTATACAAAGTTCGTTTTCTAGATTAACTTCTTGCATAAAATTTGTATACGGCATAAAAAACTTTGTTCATAAAGTGCATGACTTCAGGCTCATTTTGCAGAGCGATTAGGCGCAAGGCTGCAGAAATGCTGTCGAAGCATATTGTAGTGAAAAGCAGTGAAATTTCGATTTGGTTTATCAGTCATGATCAAGAACGAGACTGAACAATGGGAAGAATAATCAGTTTTTTCTAGATACTTCTTTCCACTGGACTATATTCGGAGATGTACACATACTCTACAAGAAGATACCCTACCATCAAGCTTCACAAATGAGCGGTGAATTGATACCTTTATTATGGAAAGCTTGGATCTATGAAATGGCGCAGGTGCTCATTCGATCGTAAATCTCATTTATCCATCTTCCCATATACATTTTCACAAAAACTCCGTGTTTGTAGCTGTTTTCATGCGTATATTCGAAATAATTTTTGTTTGAACCGAAAAGCGTGAAGCCTTATGACCTATGTATGTCTTTGACAGTGAAGTTCCTATAGGCTAGCGATTCGCTGGGCCATTCTATCGATTAATTTACATCTTGCAATGAATCATTTGCTAACAAACAACTGATCATTTTTGCGTAAAATCGGCGGGAAAGCTCATTCATATCGCGTTAGAAGGATGCGGTGACTCAAGGCGCCATGTTGCAGGTGAGTTACCTTTGATTCGACTGGATTGGCGTCGGCGGGCCTCTGTGATCTAATTGAGGCCGCTCGCGCCCGCAACGTATTCTGCGTTCTCTCGCGCACATGCTCTCTGATCATTGTTAGCTTCAATTAGGTCGCGAAGCACCGCCTTCCAACCGCCAAGCCACTTGAATCAAAGGGCACTCTGACGATACATGATCTTTTCCAGTGGAGTATTTTCAAAGGTGAAACAGGGGCTTCCAGATTTGTGGGAGGAGGTTGCCGCTTTCTTTGATTGTTAGGATAAATTG